TTTTGGTGAGCAGGTATTTGTTTTTTCATAAGCTCGTGTTTCGTGCGGATGCTGGGGCCCGTTGCAGCTGTATCTGTATTGTTGCATATTGACAATCAGACAAAATAAATCAGACACAAAAACAAGATTCCACAATTGCAAATCTAGAAATTCTGACTATCCACAATCACACATCAAAATGCCAGCAAAACAGTAGAATACACAGATTACATCCATTTTCACATCAAAACCCACTTAATACAATCATAATGTAACATGGCATCTTGCCTGACCAGCAGCGGTACACGAAGGCCCTGGGAATCCGACCAGTAGCATCGGGTCCAAAATAGTGGAAGAAGTCGGCCTGCCGACGCGAAACGAAAGTTCAGTTCATAAAAGTCTCATCGGATGAAAGTTGATGAAACCAGCACCATGGTGGCGGCACCATGCATAAAGCATGGCCCGTAGAGTCATCAGCCCGACGACATAAAAACACTGCTGGCAGATACAGCCATCGTCAGCACGGAAACCTGGCCCAGTAAATCTGCATGGCTCCCATCTTGGGTCTCGAAATCCCCGCGACTTCCACTGTAGATTCAAAATAAAATGCTGCTGTCACGCCCTTTTCATAGTAATAACCCCGTTATATAAAGTTACTAACAATAAGGAAAACATTCCCAGATCGCCTCTCGGGCGCGTGTGTACTAAATAAAAGGTTACATAATGCCTATATAGAAGAAAACCCCAAGATCGTGCCACTGAACGTTAGGACGTGTCCATTCTCAACTAAAGGGGTGAATCATTAACACTGAATTCGTAACAGTATGTTGTATCACCTTGTGATCAGGGCACAATTACAAAATCAGCTCAGTAAGTACAGCCGTTGGGGCTATTAAACATCTGAATCAGACAGCTAGTATGTTCTACTTATGAGAAAAATGATGAACTGTTTTTTATCGTTGTTAATTGTACCGAACATTGTGCATCGCTCTAACACGTATTTACTTCTACGATTATGGCAATCTTCACAGACATATGATACAAGGACTAGCATGGATTTTACATTTATACACACCAACAAGGCCAGTGAAAAATGCCAGGAAAAGTTAACCTAACTGTGACCCGGGGTCCTCCGCATCCAATGCTACTTACCATACAAAACAAATGAACAAAGAAAAACGACGGGCGACGGACACGGACAAAGGAAAATGGCACAGATGAAAATGGCAGAATGTATGGTGTTCTATAGCCGCCAAAAATGCGTCTCGTCGTCCTGTCGCTCCGACGCTACGACACGACGGCTCATGAAGTCCCGGCGTCGCGTTGCGGCGTCGCCTCCTTTCTCATTACTTTTTTGCTGTGTTTAATGCGTCGTCGTTGTGCCGTCTGGGCGTCGCGTCATGCCGTTGGGGCGTTGCGTCGTGGCGCCGCGTCGTGTTGTTTCTTGATGCTATCGCGTCATGCCAGCTCAACATGCCGTCTTATCGTGCCGTGGTGCGTTGCGTCGTAGCGTCGCGTCGTGCTGTTGCGCCGTCACGTCGCCTGTCATTGAATGATTTTTATACAGTGTGGGCTAGGCCGTCGTGTCCTATCGTCGTGTTGTCGCGTCCTGATGTCTTGATGTCGTGTCGTCGCACCGTTGTGTCGTGCTGTCGTGCCTTACTGTTTTTAAAAATGGCTGGCTGGTGATTATTAAGGCTAATAGAGAACGTATGTCACAAGTCCTGAAAAAAATAGCGTGCGTGAATAGCATAAGGCCTACAAGATTGAAAATGAAAAATGGTATCTATTGGTGTTGGCTATCTATTAGGACTAACTCCGTCTCTGAGGGTTCCCGATACTTGATGCGTGTTTTTTATACCAGGCAAGATATGGGACGGAGGGGTACCCCCCCTTACCTGTCCAATCCCTATACACACTCTAGACTATTGTTACCTAACACATCCCCCCCCAGAAGTCTGTAAAGAATTCCTGAGATTCCGATCAAACAATGACCAACACAAAGGCGGGGGGTTCTGTCCGTCCCATAAATTGCTTCAAATGGTGTTTTTGAACGTACACAGGAGCCTGAAAGTTGACCCCTGATGCACGGCGCGCTTCCAGAACCCTTGGATTGGAAAAAACGTAAAATTGTAGAATTTGTAATACTTATTAGTTCAGTTACTTAAAAATTCAACTCAGAAAAAGACCTTTGGTGAAAATGTGCCAGCATAACAATTTATAGAAACTGAAATATTGCCAGACATATAAAAAGTGACATATCCTGGTAAAAATTGACCCATCACAACCTAAAATCTAAAAAAGAAGAAGAACAGAACAGAACGGATTAATTACGGAATGAAATTTTATGGTAGTCTGTCGGTAAAAGCCAAAATAAGAACAGATGAAACTATAAAGAAATAAACTTTTGCTGTCAAGAACTGCGCCGTGACAATTCAACGGAATATCAGTCGTTGACTGCAGGGAGATATATGTAAACCATTCTTCGTCTTTCGTATGAGGGAGACAGCAGTCATTTAATGCCCTTTAGAATAACTCAAGTCTGAGCACTCACTGTGCGCCCCATTGACAAGATGCAGAGTTCATGTTTGTATATTATTTTTAGCCGAGTAGATTGTTTCCAAGCAATAGTCTCCGTAGTTAATGTGTTGCAATTGTTTGGTTCAGTTTTAGAAATAAATGAAAGTGTGCTTGATTGATTTTAATTTGCCAATTTATCACTGTGATGTTCCAAAAAATTAAAAGGTTTAGAGTTGCCAAAAAACCCCACAAAACACAGGGAAACTTTAGAGTTGAAAACACCTGCAATAGCTTTTCTGTTTATATTTAATTTATAATTCAAAATTTTAATAATATTTTGTGAGTTAAAAAGAGGTTGATTTTGGAAAAGACGACTTTTGACGATATAGGATAAGACGAAGTCGAATGCTAGACTCTCCGCGCCGCAACATTCATGGCTTCACTTGGTCACCGTACCTCCCGCAGACCCTTCGATAAGGTAGGTCCGGTCGGTCACGGGCGATCGGCGTTTGGTGGCGCCTTACATGACACAAACGTCAATGAAGATAGCTCTATCGCTCCGTAGACTGCTGATACTGCATGTATTACATGTACATGTAGGAGGACATGTGGACAGCTGTGGTCTTTTTCTCTGTGCGTGTGACCTAGAGAAGGTGACAATAGTTTACATCTCTCATTAAATTTTTTTTCAGAAAAAGTCTTGAGGCCTACCCTCGAAAACTGCTCTGGCATGTTTGGCGTGGTGAGGCAGGGCCAGTGAAATTTATTCCAAACGTTAGGCATCCACGGCTACGTCGTCGTACTAGGCCTAGTTTAATGTAGTTACATAAACGCGAAATTGATCCAGCACGGTTCTTCTTTGGGACTTGGGTCGGGGTATGAACTGCAGTAATTGGAACATGGAGGGAGGACACAAGGCTATGCGACCCACTTTCCTTCCTTCATGTTTAACCATGGAGGAATTAACATGGTTTAATTAACAGTTTAGCCCAGATTGGATGTTGTCTTCATCAACACAACTGTCGCAATGCAATGTAGACGACGTCCATCGGGCTAACTTATACTAGTCGATGTTAAGCCTGGCATTGGGGCCTTGTGCATGTTATTACAGCACACACCAGCACATGTAGACATGGTAGATGTGCGCGTTTGGTTAGCTACATTTCAAGTAACAGGTTCATACCTGCACATTGTTGGCCCTATTTTTAGTATACATGTTATACCTCACCTCAAGAGCTCATGTACAATGCTCCCAGTTACATTTGGCTCCCGGCCATGTACTTCTTTCGATCCCCAAGTTCAGAATATTCCTAGTTTGTTATTTTAAGTTTGTTATTTTTAACTCCAACATTTAATTACAGAGTAATGTAATATCTTTTTTCTGATTTGTGACTATGGATTATTCTTTGTAAAGGAAAAAATTGGAGAGGGAAAGTCTGAACTTCTTAAAAAGTGATATTTTTCTAGTAAGGCCTTGCGCCAAAACTTCTCTCTGGAATCTGCCTTGCAGACATAATTGCATAGTCTGTGAAATGTACATGTAATCTTAATGGAACCAGTCTGCTGTTGCTTTTGACAGACAAGTGGGACTCTGCAGCTCAAAAAACAAAGTGTGATGTCCGTCATGAATTTGTTGTTTGCCAATTTGTTTATGAATAATTTCAGGCAGTGGCATGTAGTAAAACATGTATGTCTTGAAAATAGTGGGAATTACTGGTCATTCGGTGTAGGTCAGCTACTTCTCCAAATATGCTGTATTTACTAAGTACTAGTGGAACAATGTAGCATGTTGGCATTAGGTCGCTCTTGACTTCTCAAATAATAACTCGGTATTTTACAAATATGTATATCAGTCATTTTGTGTTGACATTTTGCTTAGTTCTTTCACAGTAAGTTTACTACACCAGGCACTGGACCACCATGTCATCAACCAAGCGCAGTTGCCATGACGTCAGCGACCAGCCTCCACTTAAGAGGCACTTTCCCTTGGGCCAGGACCTCTCTGCCCCCAGCAGTCCCGTGCAGGAACTGTTACAGCAGGCCGCGGGCTTTGCCTGCACGCTGACGGACCAGCAGTTTGCCAGGTGCATGGATCGCATTGATCCCCTTCGCCATCTCCGGGAGGAGTTCGAGATTCCGAGGATGAACACAATACCGACAGGTGAGGGATTTCACGGGGCCTGCCGACAGCCCAGGCACATGTGCAAGAGGCAGATGCTATACCATCTTTTTCCCTTTTTGGTCCTTTGACAGTGCAATATTTAAAAGCCCAAGCTACACCCAAAGTGAAATTCGGGTCACTTCCAAATATTTCTATTCATATTTCTTGAGTTTTGCGACCAATACATGTAGTTATGAGTAGTTGATTGCAATTTTGACTTAATTTCATGATTCTCCAAGAAAGATTAGACCATTAAAAGAAGAACTTGAAAACATTTTCAAACATTGATAAAGCTGAGTTAATTCTGATATATGTATAATTAAATATTTGTATATATTTGAATATTTCCTTTAAATTCACTGTGCCATGACATGTATTTGATCTTTATTACTTCAGTCTTCTCATCAGAATCAGTGTCTCAGAAACCTGCTAAGTGTTGATACATTTCTTCAAATCTTTTTTATACCTTGCAGTGGATGAGTCTGTTGTCAACATGGAGGATGACGGTATATACATGTGTGGGAACTCCTTGGGCCTGATGCCTCGCTCCATCAGGGGCATTGTTTCCCAAGAATTGGACAAGTGGGCAAATATGTGAGAAACTGATTTTCGTGTTGGCATTTCGCTACATTCTATGTTGCATAGCACATGTACTCAGTAGCCCTGCACATGTACGGAGTACATTTATCCTAGGCTGGAGGTTAGAAGATGGTAGCATGTGTGTATTGTACAAACTTTTCGCATTTGGGCAGTTCCGCGGTGTCGGACGTACATTTTGGACTCTTCAACAGTGTGTGTTATTATGCTTATAATCCTGAAGCAGATTTTGATTTTGATAACAGACATCAGCTAGTTGGTACATTCATTTAATAACAAAATTTCTCACTCAGAATTATTATCCTTGTGGAAACTGACTCATAACACCATGGTGTCGGACGTACTCAGAGAAAGTTAATTTTTTGAGTTTCCATTTTTGTATCACAAACTCTGTGAATTGCTAGGACCTGAAGAAGTAGTTTTCCTGTGTCTAGTTTTAGCAGACCCTTGTTAATAAACGTCAAGGCAAGACTTATTTTTATCTTGTGACTTTCAGATAAAGCATTTATTATATTGGTGTCGGACGTTCATTTTTTTGGTGTCGAACATATACGTCCAAACTGACTTTTCAGAATAGAAGGTAATTAGTTCAAACCCAAGCTTGTCTCATTTTTCTACCTTCATGAAGGCTTTAGTAAACTTTACAAACCAAAAGAAAATACCAAGCCATACAAAATAATCAAAGGCAACTAGAAAGGAATTGGATGATGGGGCATTCAGTGAAACAGTATGAAGGAAAATATTGTCTTGAAGTATTTATGCAAATTCTGCTCATTTAAACAAGTCCTGTACTGTCAAACATTCAAACTAAAAAAAGTTTTCTACAGTAGACAATCCTTTAGATAAATAAATCAAATTAAAAGATGATTGCATACATGTACCTGTAAGATCTTTTGGTCTTAAAACATGAAATTAAACATTTTTGTATGACAAATGCTGTGTGTACTAAGCTGCAATTTTAAAGATTTCCAGTTCACACTTCACAGGTTATAGTTCACATGTAAAATCCAAAAAGAAGCTAAATGAGTAGATGTTTATATACCCTGTTAGATGACTACACAATCAAAGGAATGGGCTAGCAATTAGGCTGAGAGATTACCCTTTTCACTGAAACTTAAGACTAATAGAATAATGCTTTTAAAACTAGTCTTACATTGTGTGTTTCATGATAGGTACTGTACATGTTAATGCCATGGAAAGCATATACAAGTGGAACACCCCCTTTAATTCCTCAAGCAACACAAATTGAAACCAATTGATTTTACATGTACCTTGAACAAGGTATAAAAACACACACCTTTGTTTAGTCTTTGACAATTCTTCCTTCTTGATGTGGATTACATGTACACGTATACAACACCTAGAACTTTAATTGTCTCCATCAAAGCTCACACTGACATGACTTACTTCTGAATACGTGCAAAGCACATGTTTGTCCACACATGACACATGTGGAATGGCTTCGGACCCTAATTATAACCTTATTAGGATGTGTATGTCCAAATAGTCAAATTTATGCAAATTAGTAAAAAACAAAAGTGAAGCCTATTTGGTACTTTCACAAAATGTGGGGGCCTCATTTCCATGTATGTAAATGAGGTGGTAGTGGTTTCTGTACAGTGTAAAAGCATTGCATTGCCAGCAATGCATGGTTCTGACAGTGTCGGACGTACAGGGTGTCGGATGTACACAACTCATTGTGCTTTGTATTGTCAATTTGGCATTCTTTTGTTAAAGGGTGCACTGAGGGAATAAAAAATTATGTCATTTTGGTGTTGAACGTACATAAGAAAAGTAAGTGTTAAAAAATAAGACATGAGATAGAATTTCAAAAGGAAAATGAAAATTCATTTCTGTCATTGTTTACTTATTGGGGCACTCTTCAAACTGTAACAAAACTGGAACAAAAAAATTATTATCAGGCTAAAAAACAGAAAATCTTTCAGAGAGGAAATATTTCCCCATTTCTTGGTATTTAAAACCAATTTTTCAGTATCATAAGAAAAGCCAAATTCTTGAATGTAGGCAGAAATGAAGAATGTTTCATGAAAGTATACACCATAAGCTTTGAAATGATTATAATTTGTCACATTTGGACCAGTTTGAAATTTTGGCTTAGAGGTTGTTTCCGTGGAACTGCCCATTTATTGAGTGTAGGTTGTCCCACCTGAGTGAGCAGCAAGATTGAGTTTTCCACATACAAAGCCATAGTCTGATCGAGGTGAAATCATGACATGATTACCCTGGATTTCTAACCACCAGTTGGATTGTCTCTTTTTGTGCATATTCAGGGGAGTTCTGGGACACTTTTCAGGGAGCATGCCGTGGGCCATGTCAGATGAGCTCTTGGTGGGAAAAATGGCTAAGCTTGTTGGTAGGTCTGATGACATAATTTAATGACTTTAGGCTTCTTGTTGGATTTTCTTTTAACTTGGCAGTTTTAATTCTTCAGGTCATGCACTGAATCATACCTAGGTAGTCCATGCACATGTACAAGAATGATGTTATTATGCTACATTTGTCCATTTACCTTTAAAGAGGGGAGCGAGGCAAAGTGCAGTCCCCTCAACATTTTCTCTGACATTGCTGTAATGCATAATTCTCTGCGTCAAGCCTTCAGGAATTTTGTTCAGTCAGTAATGTCTTGTGAGCATTATTTAGTGAAAATCAGACGCATCTTTCTTGCAAACACCATTTCTCGGAGACAGGTCACATTTTCACATTGACAAGTTTGAAGCATTTCGATCAACACGTGTTAGGCCATGAACTTCAGTTGTCTATTTACTCTTCATTTACAATCTATATGTGCTGAATTGAAACTTCACAAATGAATGTCTTAGACCGTGTAATTTATCTTGAGTAAAATCCATAGACAACTGGGTGTTCATAGTAACTTTAACATCCGCAGGGGGAGAGTGGGGAATAGGCATGACAGGTTTTCTCTTGGGTAAGGGCTAGGAGTAATCAGTGAATTTACCTTGGATTCATAAATACCTCAGACAGTCTCCCTATTCAACAATGTGCAACTTGACCATGTTTTGACCGTAACCCCCAAGGGTGTATGTAAAATTGTATTGAAATTGGAGGATTTGGGACCGTTAGGGTTAACAGTTGATAATGCCCGTTAAGAAGTGATAATGCCAGCTGCGTAACTCACCTGGATACAAGACAGTTTAATCAATTCTGAATGGTCAAGAATCTATATGCGCGCGGCTCAGCACACCCACACCGAGTCCACACAAGGAGGTTCTATTGCATAACTTGCACAAGGAATATACCATAAAATGGACGGGGTGTTCTGGAAAACAAAATTCTTGAACAAAAACTTTGGAAATCCATCATATATTGGCTTCTTTCAACAATTTGACTCTCTGACTAAAAGGCTATTTATGAGTAGGAATAAATAGGTGCTCAGAAGACTGAACACTGATAATGCCCTTGCCTGCATCTCGGACGTTAGTCACATCCATTCTCTTGAGCCGGTCTGAAATGCACGTTTAAGACTGGCCGAAGACATATTTATTCCCTTAGTTATGCACCTCTTTGACAATGTACAGTAGCGCTGTGGATTCATGAAAAAAGTTCCAGGAATGAAGTAGGGCCTATGTAGTCGCCTAGTGTCTGTGACATGCACAATCATGCTCAATCACCACGCCATCGCGCCAGTTTATACAGCAAGTCCATGGAAGTTTGGAAACTCCATTCTTCGATAACAAACTAATAATAAGAAATTAGATTTTGAAACACAAGAAGTTTAACATGTGGAAATCTAACATGTACTTTTTATGGACGGAAATCCTCTCGTTATGCAGCTTGGGAACGGCCGCCATATTTGTACCATATAATTATGCTTTGGGGTGATTTTTTGAGTTCGCAACTCTTTCGAGTTAAGAAATCCATATCTTAAATAAAATTGAACTTCAAACTGATCCAATTTATTGTTTACTTTATACCGTCCGCTTAGTTTCTTCTTTATCTCACTTTACAAATGCATTTGGCGAATTTTCCGCCGGTGTGCATTTAGCCGCTTTTACATGTAGGACTAGACTACCCTCTTATTCAGACTCCTCGGACATCTGCACACACCGCACACAAATATCAACGCCCGTTAGCAGATGTGGTGTGTAAAACAAAAAAAACTCTTAAATAGTGGTCAGCCGACCATCATAAAATGAGAGAGCAAAAGTTCTGTTTACTCGAAAACAGCAGCAAGTGGGGCAAAAATATTTACAACCAAGGCTGTTATTTACTTTCTTGCAGGTGAGACATTCAAGGATTATAGTGCAGTCCTGTTTTTCGTGAATTTACCAAAGGGGAAACCAAATTTTGAATACATTTGAACTGCAAAGTGAAAGTGGTTCTTCAGTCGCAGTCCACCAGAGCGTGAATTAGTAAAGTTTTATTGTTTTGTTTGCAGGAGCCAATGAAGACGAAGTGGCCATTATGAATGGGTTATCAGTCAATATACACATGCTTCTGGTAAGTGGTCTTCACTCTTTTGTTTCTCATTTTGTTTTGTTTTCTTTTTTTGTCAACAGAATGCAAGTTTTAGAGGATGGTTCAAACAGTACATATTAGTGCTGCAAATAAGCTTCAAGGTTCGCTTTGGGTTCATTTTGGACATGGTTTGGAAATTTTATGCCGAACTTCAGATTGGTTTTGGTTTGGACATGTATACACATGTACATTAATGTATAATGCACATTAAAACACTAATGAACTTGTTATGAGGATGCTGTTGTTACATGTAGATCTGTGGAAGCGTGGCGGACGATGAACTCCACAATTCTGGGGGTACCGTAGTACTTCCATTTACATGCATAAACTGCATTAATACAAGCAATGAATCTCCTCTCAATCCCCCATCAACGAGCAACTTCGATTTCATCACATTTTTTCCCAAAGTTTATTTTGTAGGTTAAAATTATTGCATAGAAAGTTGCCGTCAGACATGTGGCATTTTCTGACCCTGTTTCGCTGACCAAAAGTGGCTGTGGTTAGATCATCCTTGACTCAACAAAATAATTGTAGGATATATGAAAAAGGGGAAAGGAGCAACATGCTCAAATGGAAGTTCACAACTTTACAGGATACAAAATCAAGTCAAATTTCAAGCAAATTGTGTTTTGGTTATTTTTCATGAAACAAATTCAATATTCGACACCTTCGATACATTTTCAGAAGAAACTTTGTATCGAGAGTGCATTCTTTCCTAGGATGGGATGGTTTGCATTGGCTCTGTTAACTACCATGCAAAATAGGTGCCCACTTGGCCAATACTTTCAATACTCGATGCTTTATACATGACACAAGAATCGCTCATGCCACAAATGTACACGTGTAACACAGAACTTAAAATGCATTGCAGAAAGCACAGACGTGGGTGAAAAGCCTCATTTGGGGATTTCTGCCACACAAAAAGAAAGGTGTTTTGAATTTGAAGATGTGTTTTCTTGTCATTGTTGTTTTGTATCATTTGGTGCAGGTGTCTTTTTATAGGCCAACTAAGGAACGCCATAAAATCCTCATTGAAGACCACGCTTTCCCATCCGATCACGTGAGTGTGACTTGCCTGTATGCATTTAACGGCGCAGTACACATTTTTGTTTTGTCAGTGAAAAATGTGGAAGTTACATGTACAGGTACATGTATACAGGGCAAGATGGGAATGTGACCTCGTTAACAGGCTCCAAATAATGTGAGAGTCAAAACTTTACTGCATCGATGTTAAGGCCGGTTCATTCTGGGAGTGACGAGGACACAAGCCTGATATTGTCATACCAGTCAAACATTTGCACTCTGGATTTACAAAATGAGAACACATTTCTACTCCAGAGAAGTTTGCTTCAAATGTTTTGTAGCGTTAGATTTGGTTTACTTTCACAATCAGTTGAAATATGAACCGTCCCATATGTACATGTAGGTATATTGGTAGCCCTTGGAAGTGTTTTAATGTGTAATGGATTGATCCATGATACAGGATATACATAAATGCATGTCTTTTTTTTTCAATACGTCCCATGAATCTGGTCAATGTGAATTGAATGATCGTACACCACACAATTGCAAAATGTCTGCTGTGGAGTTACATTTAAATTTTCGGAAAGTCATAAATACATTATTTACTTCTGATGACAAATAGTTAGTCTAGGATTATTGCAAAAAATTATGCAAGGTCAGTTTTGCTAGTTTGTTAATTGGAAATCTCCTGCCCACCAACTATGCTGTTACTGAACTTCTTAATGAGACAAGTTTTCCAATTTTGGAAATGTCAATTTTGTCATATCTTCCTTCAACAGTATATTGCCGAGTCTCAGATAGATTTGCATGGGTTCAATCCCCAAACCAGCCTGTTAACTGCAAAAGCAAGAGAGGTAAGCTGACCTTTGAAAGGGTTGACTTCTAAAAAATCCAATGCATAGTCAAAAGGTGTGAGCATAAGTACTCTGTGAGGCTGGTTGTGCATTGGATGGATGTGGAATTGGGGCACTATAGTTAAAAAATGCAGGGCTTTCTTTGTAATTTGTTTGGCAAATTGACCACCTGCTTTTAAGCTGCATGAGTAGAAAGGGCGTATCTTTCATTTTGTATTCTCGCAGTCAGACATCAGGAAACTTCAGTGCATTTCTGCATAGCATGAATGAGAATTGTACCCCTCTGCAGTGTGGTAAAAAGCCACAGTCCATGCTGGTCAAGGCCATAGGCCATTCTGGTCAAGGCCATAGTCCATGCCGGTCAAGGCCATAGTCCATGCCGGTCAAAGCCGTAGTCCATGCTGGTCAAAGCCATTCAACACCTCAACAAAAGTCACCTCTTTGCAACATCTGTCAAACTAATGATTTTGTCCAAGTTGCTTCTTCAGTCTGTTCCACAGCCTTTACACTACAAGATTCTGTCCCAATATTTTGGATGCATCAGTTGCCCTTCACATTGCCAAATTCCTTTTCACCATTTTGGATATACAGTGTATCAATTTATTGTATGAGTGCAACGTTGTATCTCTAATATGCTAAAACATTGTCTCTGAATTTTGCATACAATTTATTAACTGATAAAGGCATATGCCGAGGCCTAGTCCAGACATGCTAGACCTTGCCTCACTAGCACTGGGCTGTGACATGTACTGTGTAGGCCTAAGCCTATTCATGAACGAATTCACAAGGCACCAACTCATTAAGATTGGCATGAGTGATGAAGAAATGTATCATGTGCACTTTTTGTGACTTTTCCCTAGCCAATCCTCCAAAAAGTGCTAGGCAGCTTTTAATTATGGGCTCTGCAAAAGAAACTGGCATGAGTGACAGCTATGAAAGCGAAGGTTAGCACAGGCTGTCAGCCAAGCTAAGTCTATTTCCGGCAACGGAAAAACCACCTTGAACCGACTTTTTGTACACACATTTTATTTTTGTATTCGAAAGATTTTGAAGCCCACAAAACCGACCCGTATGTGTTAGCAATTCATTTAATTTCACTCTGATCGTAAATACATGAAGAATGTAACACAGATTAACTGGAAATTTGAATTCGAAATTGTACTAGCGTTTTATACTTGTAGCGAGCGAGATACATGTATCTGTGGCGTGTGTACATTTAGCGAATAGTGACCTGCGTATGACGTCATGAGACCATACAAACTGGTGACGTATCCGGCTTGCTAAACGTAACCGTCAGCGTGCGAAACCTCCCTAATGATTTTAAGTCATTACTATCAGTCTCAAATATGCACAGTAAGGAAGTAACGCACACAGCAGGGGAGTAAGTAAGGGCCTAATAGGATAATTACTAGCAGAGTTTATTCCCATGTTGTAGGGGGAGCACTGCCTTCAAATGGCTGATCTGATGGATTTGATAGAGCGTGAAGGGGATAGCATTGCCGTCATCATGCTACCTGGAATCCAATACTACACTGGCCAGGTGTTTGATATGAAAGCTATCACAGAGGCTGGACATAAAAAGGTAATAATAATGATAATGAGACAATAAATCTGTACTCGGCATATCTGAAATGTTCACTGGGGACCGGCTCGGAAGAGCAGATGCTGATAATGGCCTGATCCAAACCCGGGTATATACATGTATATTTATTCGCATCTATAAATTTACTTTTAAAGATCAGAAAATCAAAACAAGGTAGACAAATTATAATTTCCAATGAATTCTGGAAAAAATTCTGAAATAGAAGATATGAAACGTATGTGCATATTGAATGAATTGTGTGTGTCCCATCAGATGGAACAAGGATTTACCACAAGATACAAATACATTTATCACCAATTTGGACTGTTTGCATCTTTTTTTTCTAGATGGGAACGTAGTTCAATCCCAAATAACAAACACCGGAGGCGAATTTCATTGAGATTATTAACACCCACTATATTATTAAATGAGCAATTCACCTGGAAATTAGAGCAGCTCGAAATGAAGGTTTTTTGTACTGTACTTGTACCTTCAGAAATTAAAACATTACTCTCAAAGGCAGTTTCCAATTAAAGGGAATGACAAGATTTTTTATTTAAGTGATGTCTTGTTGACTTCCAATATGAAAACAGTGTTTTGGGGTCAAAAAGGGTTTTTTTAGAGCTAATGCAAAATTGTGTTGGTGTCTAGAGTCATTATCCAGATTTTGCATGCATAATTCATCCATATGTAATATCAAGGCTTTTTGATTAGGAAGGCTGAGAGGAAGGGCCGTATTGCATGCCAAACATGCCAAAATAATTCTTTGCAAAAGAAAACCTCGTTAGAAATTGATTGCTTACAATATTAGCATGCAGTTCCAGATAAGTATGTCTGACACCCAAGCAATTACTATTGCTTTTAATGTTTATATTCAGTCTGGGATTATTTCAACCTTTGTTCATTATCATCCATGTGCACCTGTACATGTCAGTATTAGCGGGACATGTAGGGGATCAATACACTGTATGTACATACATTACAGTTAATGATGATTTTATGAACTGATCAACCCTCCTTTGATTTAACAGCACAATTATGCACAAGTGCCCACAGTCACTTTCTTACATGTGTTTTCTATGTGGACGACAAACATGCACAGGTTCAGTGTGTACACAGTTGGTTGGCCTTTTGTGTGGTCCTCTTAACTGTATTTGGTTAACTGCACAATGATTCGCATGAAACAGTGAGGCACAGTTGTTAGGCAGCACAAAAGTGCAATCTGATATTCCTGTGAGGGACTGTTGGTGCAGTGCACAACACAACACGGCTGTGCTTCTTTGAGGTGTTTACCAAGTGACCCAAAGAGTGACTTCAGCATAGGAGGGTTAATGACCTCACTTGTATGACAAGCTTAAGGTTTAATTTTGAAGCATTGGGCATTGTAGACTTCTTTTCCACATAAGTTCTCTGTGTTCCTAAATATTCTCTAAAGATTTGCCAGACTGTCTTTTCACATAAGTCTTTCGAAGTCATAAAATGCCAAATATTTATTGTGATCAAATGGAAAGTGACACCTTGTGAGTTGATAATGTAACTGCTTAAAAATTATTTACATGTAGCCATCTTCGGTTAATGAAATAGCTGGTTACAGTAATTGCTGCGTCTCAATATAGCCACTGAAACTTTAGATGCTTCCAATGCATGTACATGTACATGTATATGTGCTCATTGTCAATTACTGTTCATTGTTGTGAAAGTTACGATGCATTTAACCCTAAAGAGAATGGGCATGCGGTCACTGCCCCCCTTGGCTTCTCCATTACTAACCTCTGAAACTAAGCATGCACATAAAGAGAATCATTGTGAGTTTGTCTGCAAAATCTCAATCTCCATCCAACAGCATTTTTGTTTATTGCGGTTGTTTATTTTTCGTGTTGTCAGGTTTATACAATGATTAGCCCAGTTGTCGGGAGGAGTTAATATTTTGGCTCATGTATTGTAAAAATCGTGTGTCCATGACCACCAGATATCTGCGGAAAAATTCTTGAAAGGTCCTGAAAACTCCAAGCATGTGTGTTTGGAGTTCTGATATTTGGTGACTTCGCCTCGGTGTTGACCCATCGTAGTAGCAGCTGTTACAGCCCAGAGTCTTGAAAGCACAGTAAAAACCATCTGGACAAAATATGGCGACTGACTTCCCAGTCTTATACCTGGTTAACTGTCACCAAGGCCTCATTTGTTTGATCTTTCTGAAGGGATGTGTGGTTGGCTTTGACTTGGCCCATGCTGTGGGCAATATTGAGATGCATTTACACGACTGGAATGTGGACTTTGCAGCCTGGTGTACGTACAAGGTGAGTTGGGCTTCTGCCTTCAGATACATATTATACAGTAAGTAATATTTCTCAAGGTATACATGTGTTTCACGTAAGTCTTAATTTTTATTAAATCACAGTGACCTTTCAGAGCAGTGGACATGTCTTATTATGTAATTGCTTTTCTAGTACCCCACTTCACCTGTCTCTGGCTTCTTGTCATTTTAAACTCCCTGACTTTAAAGTGGTTAGCTTATCTGTTTTCATGCTGCGAGCTGTTTGAAATAAATGTTTATTCAGAGATACTAATAAATGTAAGAGCTGAATACATAAACCTACTGGTGTTATTTGATTCTTTCTACATGGATAAGTGTCATCTGTAGCTTATGTAATGATGTCGGGACTGATGAGTTATTGTGTGAATTTGCTATTTAAGAATTGTGTGATACTACTGTGAACAGTTGCTCTTTAAAGTATATTTACAGTATTAAATTTATGCATTTGCAGTATCTGAATTCTGGTGCTGGTGCTTCAGCGGGGGCATTTCTTCATGACAGACATTCCAGGAACAATCATCCCCGGTAAGTTTTGCAGGATGCACACCTACATGTGCGTATGTGCAAGCACATGTGCATCTGAACATACCTGACGCTATTCAAGTCATCTCAGCGTGCAGTGATATTCAACCATTTTTTTTTACCACTATAATGTGGAACCTACACGTACATCTAGGTCTCTCTCAAATGACACCACTTTCTACCGATTGCCACGTGCATCGCCGTATTTGGCATGTTTGACTTCAAATTTTCCTGATGCCCATCTGCTGGGCCGCATTTTGGAGATGTTTGGACCAGCACATGTGCCTGTATAGAACATGTGGACACCGCATGCATGTGCACATGTGCATATCTGTTGCTGTTGTGTATGCAAATGTAATTTTCCTACAAAGATGGCGTCCAGTGAGAGGGATCGGTAGTTAAACTTTTTTGTTGCATCTAAGGCCAGTATTTGATCATTTTGTGTTAACGTCTTTTAAAGAAAGTCTTCAGGCAAACATTAGATTTAGAGGTTGCAAATTGCTATTGTAAGGTATAGGTGAAGTACACCCTGCATCCCAGAGGCACTATGTACATGCATTAGGTGATCTTAATGCCAGATACTGACTGGGAAGTTCAGCGAGCCTCAGAGTTTTATGAAGAAATTGCATAGACTAACACGATTAAAGGGTCGGAGCAAGGAATGTTTCTTAAACATGCTTTTTTTGTGCAACTTCGTAATCTGCTTGGTATGAAAACCATTTTACACCTCTGTATGTGTATCGAAAAGTACTTTTTCTGAAACATTAAAAATTGTCTTTGCTCTTCCGGACAACTGAGGGCACTTTGCTGTGATGTCAGTCAGAGAAGGCACTTTTCATTTTTATACATGCTTTTGTATTACAATTATGGAACCAATTTTACTCATTGAAAACATTCTTGAGAAAGGGTTGCTCAGGGCTTCCATAGAATTAGTGCACAGTTTTACAGTCACGCTTGACCAGCTGTGGACCCCATAGCCCAGATGTGACCCTTGGTATTATGTGGAGCCGTTTAAGGGAGCAGAGGACTCGACATGTCTGGTTTGGTTAATTTATTCTGGAGAAAGAATGCGAGGAAAGGAGACTTTTTAAAAAGATGTCATCTCCAATCCGGTCAGCGTCCGAGTGACGCCGAACGGCCCACATTCGAAGTATCAATTGTGTGCGATTGACTGGGAAAATGAATATTTATGAGGGATGAACAAAAGGATAAACATAATGAATATTGATGATTCTTCCAAACAAAATACGGGGTATAAAGTTCTACGTGGTGACACGTACATGTGCACACATATTTGTTACCGAGACATTGTGGAGACCAGAAATGTTTTGGGGAAAACTTCAGCCTCGACTTTGCTGAGAAAAGAAAGTTGTCCTAGCGCAGAAGTTAAGGGGAAAACACACAAGTGGCATCCCTTCGTTATTGTGGGGACAAATTCCTTTAGGGTTGTCCCCACAACTCCACTTCCAGTTTCCTAACACCCCTCCCCCTCAGTGCGGTGCTGGCCATGTACATTTACCTGTGTGTACAGCCGGATTTGATTTGATTTGATTTATTCACTATTTCCACAAAATATTATTACAAAATATAAATTAAAGAAAAGCAAACTCAACCATTCCCAAAAGTGGAAATAGTAGGGATAATGCCAAAAAAAAAAGGAATATTTACTTATTCCATTGCGGTCGCAGGTTGCTGAAATCTGAATTTTTTTCATTGATATTTGATGCAGACTGACTGGTTGGTGGGGCCACCAGATGACTACAAGATTTCATATGGATAACAGTAAGTTACATTTGAATACATTTTGGGGGAGCCATATTACATGTATGCCCAAACCTGTACAGATTGGTTTGAATGCAGTAACCCATGTGAAAAGCAATACAAGAAATGTATCTTCAGTATGTGTGATTGCTGTTAATCAGAGCTCACATTTGAGAAAATTTCTTTGCTTGTCAGTCATTGGGTGCATCGCGAGCAGCTTCCACCGGGCAACCTGGGCCTGGAATGGCAATGTGTGCTGTCGCTCTAGCAAGCGAAACTGTGGGGATAAGGTTGAACCCGAGTCAACTCTTGGAAGCTAATTGAACGCACCTGCTGACTTTGAGCTCTGTGCCGGCATGACAGAGGGCACTTTGTCTCCACAATGCAATTCCAACTCTCCCAACAAAAGAAATCATCCTCTTAATGGGGGAAGGCCTATGCACAGTCTCACACACATCATTGGACTGTACTTTTCTGGGAAGATATTCTCATGTTTTGTTTTTGCTGTGACCCAAACCCATCGATGGGTGTGCCTTCCAGAAATTGAGTGCTCCCAGAGTGCCCACCCGCCCTTGCAAAATTTACCCTGGTAATATTAATGCAGAATGCATCTTGGCAGGAGTATTAAACCACTTTATGCCTGATGCAAGATGCATTCTGCATATTAATGCAGAATGCATCTTGGCAGGAGTATTTAACCACTTTATGCCTGAGGACAGGAAAACACAATCTGGCTTTCTGTAGGTAAGGCTGACAGGTTGAAACATCAAGCCTACCATGATTTCACCTGCTGCTGACACCTGAACACATAATGTGTATATCCCCATTTTGTTTTGTGCACATTCAAGTCTGAGAAGTCTAGGGACAAGGCAGACCATGTATTGAACCCGAACCTGGCTGCTGTGAATGCACAGCCTGTTGTGATGGCAGCTATCATTCCCAGTTCAAGGCCCACAATGTTGAAAAGTGAAGTTTCTGTAGGAAAATAACATACAAATTACTGTTCAAGTTACAATTTTGACTCAGAATCTGTGGTATTTAGCTGTATATCAAAAGTTGGCTGTTATATTTTGTCAGTTAGGTTATGTCAAATTATAATGGCTATGGTTAGTGTTGGGCATTGGAGCCAAAGTGGTTCATGACACACTGTAGAGTATTAGGTGTCACAAGTCATAACTTGTGATGCATTACAATGAGGGGATGTGGAAATTTGTCCACACAGTAACCTTCCTTTTCCCAGTTGACCACATTATCTGCATGTTGTGGTTGGCCTCACAGAAATGCATCTAGCACCAGGCATCGCGGGTTATAGAGTCACTAACCCGTCCTTCATGGCCAACATACCGGTCAAAGCTAGCTTGGAGGTGGGTTCCCATCAAATTATATGAGGAAGCACATTGAGCATATGAATGGATGCTGTAGTTGCTGTAGTGTAGTTTGTGACATCCACATAGTCACTATTTTGACAAAGTGACACATTCATCTAAAAATCAAGATTTTAAGCAGTTTGATGAAATTTTTGGATATCCTAATATATTGTTTCCTCTTCATGATTAAGAAAATCTCAAACTACAATGTTGTGTCATTCTTTAATTTTACACAAAATGATTAACGTGCGACGAATGCAGTTTTCACTTTCATGGAGTGATGCTTCTACATTGTTAAATGAACACATTTTATGTTCCACTGGCGCAGAGGCCATTTTTACATAAAGAGATACTCTGTCCAGCTTCCATGCTGATCATGTACATGCAGAAATGCAAAAAGTGCCTAGTGCCCACAGAGGACATACATGTACCATATGGCATGCGATTGTCTATATGTTGTAACGCCCTCTAAATGGCTTGTCTATTGCTTTTTGACAGTGCACTACATTCTAGATAAGTACTACTGGAAAACTAGTAATATTAGGGCTTGTCAGCAGCTACCCTTAGCTGGAAGATTGAGCAGTGGTCCATAGCTCTGGAAGCTACAAATTCCAATCCTGCTTCAGTTGATTTTCTTCTGTTACAAGAGAAACTGATTTTTTAGGGGGGCGATGTTTTTTGCGTCCTAGATTTTTGCTAAGACTTCCCTGAGCGCTTTGCGTAAGAAGTCCCTGCTGCTGACTGGCTACCTGGAGTATTTGGTTAGGCTGTACTTCAGCAGACCACAGTCTCAGTCACAGAATGAGAGCATCGGCAAGACGGAGAGTGATGCGGCAACGGGTGTTTATATTGACATCATCACTCCTAGGTGAGTTCATTAACCCCTTCGCACCGGGAGGCGGCCATAGCCGCTGTAAAAATTGAGATCCTCAGCCCGCTTTTCAGCTATTATTCTCGGCCCACGCTCGAGCGAACACGGTGAAAGAAGGCAGACCTTGGCTCTTGTGTATATGGTAATTGGTCT